GTATCTTTCTATTACTGCATACGCATAAGAACTTTACTTAATTAAAATATTCAACGTTTCGGTTACCCATATAACCATTATCAAGAATGTATACATGACCTCCTGAAAAGCTCTAGAGATCTTGAAACTACATCCGTTGAATTCGTCGTGGCTTTTTACCTACTTAGGGAGTTTCTGACTAAAGAGTACATATTTTACTGAAACATGCCGAACCACTTTTTCTTATCGTTCTAGTAAAAATGATTTTTCTCAGCAAAGAACAGAAAGGAAAAACAAGCGAGACATTCTTTTACTACTGATAGTTTAATGATTCGACTGAGATAAAAATAATGGCATTCCTTTTCAACCAAAAAAAAAGAATTATTCTCGCAATTTTTTGCGTTTATCGTGTAAACAGAAGAGAATAAAAATAAAGCACGCATTTAACGTGATATGTGAGTAAGCGTGGTATGTAACAAAACATGAAAAAGAACTGTGTATGCATATCTCTTTGTATGAACTTTCTAGTCGTCAATATTAGTGCTAAACACAAAAACCGAAAAGAGAGGATACTACAAGAAGCATTTTCACCATCCCACTGCTACGTATTATACTTATTGTTATTTGTGCTCCTCATTACTATTACAGCCAGGGACGTGGAGAAACGGAGACCTTAACAATACATAAGATGATACACTTTTTAGCAGCTTCAATGGTTTTAAATATTTTTATATCGATTATAATGACACCATGACCGGACACTGATTCGCTGAGGCAAAGATTCAATATGATCGCAACCCTTTTCGGGAAAATTAACGCTTTTTATATCTCTTGTTTGACTTAATGAGAAAGTTTTTAGTTCAGTCCACGAGATTTTTATTTTTCTTCATCTATTTGAGTTTCGCTTCTTTTGTTCTAGATTATATGATGGACTCACTCCGGCAGATATCAGTTAAAAACGTACAAAGCATCGCCAATGATGGTAATGAAGAGAAAAGGGCTTGGATAGAACATTTTCGCCCACATGGATTTCGCCACGATACGAAAGAAATATCAAGAGTATCATTGCCCTATGGTATTAGTTATGTATTAGAAGTATTTCTAATGCCGTTTGTATCTCAAATATTTATCAGTCGTTTGGGACAAGACGAGTTTAATGCTTGTTTGTTAGGTCAAGTATGTTACGGTTTATCGGCTTACTCAATTAACTATGGATTAAGTTTCGGTTGTGATACGTTACTGAGTCAGTGCTACTCCGGGAATAGACGTAAAATGGGCCTTACAATACAACGAGCTGCCATGATTGGTGGTTTTAGCAACTTGGTATCAAGTATACTATTTTTAAATTCGATATATTTAATTCAATACATGAACATAAGTGAACAAGTTTATCGACTGACACAACAGTATATAACCATTGGTATTTTTATTATACCTTTTGATGGTTTATTAGTGGTAATTCAAAAGTATATAATTAATCTTGGCAGTACATGGTCGATATTAATCATAAACATTATTGGAAATATGTTCAACTTACTATTTCATTACGTCTTTCTTTACGTGTTTAAATTCGGTATTCGTTCTGCACCGGTATCTCTGGCACTATCGTACATGTCTATGATAATAATGGCATTCGGTTATTTGAAAATAACAAAACTATACGCTGATAGCTGGCAACCAATAACACGTAATTGTTTGAAAGAGTGGTTGCCCTATTTAAAATTAGCAATACCAGGGGTTTTGATACTAGTTAGAGAAGTTATTTGTTTCGAGGGAAGTGTTTTTCTCAGTTCATCTTTTGGAAAAGATTCACTTAGTGCTCAAGGTGTTAGTTATTACGTCTATATAATAAACTATCTAATGGCTCAGGCATTTTCGCTTGGTGGTAATATTCTGATTGGACAGTATCTAGGCTCAAATGAACCCCAAAAGGCATATAATGCAAAAAAAGGCTATGTATCTAGGAGGATGTATAGTATTGTTTATAATAACAGCGATTTTGTATTCGATTTTCTACTGGATACCAAATTTATATAATCTTGATAAAACCTCAGCAGCATCACTTTCACGACACTTACTATTGTTTGCCATTGCATTTTGTGCCTTCAATTTTGTCCAAGTGACGCAGTGTGGTGTAATGAAAGCTATTGGAAAACAGTATATTATTGGTGTATTAGTACTAATAAATTATATTATTTTAACTGTACCACTGGCTGGATTATTAGTATTTTATTTTAAAATGAAAATGTACGGTTATTGGATTGCAATAATTATCGGTATAATATTAGAAATAATAATAGTAGAGATTTATATTGCAAGAATAAATTGGCAAACGCAGGCACAGATAACACAAGTAAGAGTTAATTTTAATACTGAAGAACCATCAAAAAGTCCAGTGGACAACGAAACGAATGAAGTGAACATGTTAAAGTAAGCAGCAGAAATAAAGTTTTTTTTATTGAATTTCGTCTCACCTTCTTGTTTAGTGCTGAAACCGATGAAGGCGTCACAACTGATAGTATACAGCCAACCCAAACATTGTTTGATGTGATTAAATTTAAACTTATTATTTTCATGTTTCTTCTGTCATTATTAATTGTTAGTATTGTATTCACTGTAAAACACTAGAATGATTGTCTTTTCGTCATCGGGTGAAACAGTCGATGTTCGTTGGTCGTCTTGATGTTGGAGGATGCCGATGAGATGGAAGCTATTGCAAAGTGTTTGTATTTATTAAGAATGAGTTTTCTAAAGGTTCATCAAGCGTGATGAAGTCAAGTTAACCACCTGACTGGCTATCGCGTAATATTATAGATCTTGGTGGGCTATATTTATAGTTAAAATACTTCCGTCGTATATCCGCAGAACTAATATTTATATAATCTATTCAAAACTTCGCTCTAGTCATGGTACCTCTTATGAATGCGACGTGCTACAGTAGAACAACCTATTTTCGTTCCTTGGGCCAGATAAATATGAAAGGAGATATTCGAACAAGAGATATAAAAGATCTTAATTTTGCTAAAAAGGATTTCGATCGTACAGAATTTATCACAGCAAATCAGTGTCTGATCATGGTGACATTATAATCGATATAAAAGTATTCAAAATCATTCAAGCTGCTATAAAACGTATCATCTCATGTACTGTTAAGGCCTCCGTTTTTCCACGTTCCCAGAGATGGGCGAGTACACGGATTTCTGAATACGAGTAAGAGTACGAGTATTTTCTGAAAACTATTCGAGTATTTTTTTTCTGAAGAAGCCGGTGAATCCGAATAAATCAATTTTTTGATACGCAAATAGTAAAAGAAAGCGTCACCAGTTTTTTTGAACGTACTCGAGTGTTTTTTGGAATACTCGTTAAAAAAAGTCCCGAGTACGAGTATTAGAAATTTTGAACGACTATACTCGTACTCGCCCATCTCTGCACGTTCCTGGCTGTTACAGTATTGAGGAGTCCAAACAGCAATAAGTATAATAAGTAACAGTGGAAATGGTGTAGTATCTTCTCTTTTCGGTTTTTGTGTCACTGATATCGACATTTCTTTTTGGTGTTTTATTACATATTCCAAATAACTATTTTGGCATAAAATAAGTCTAGATGAGCTGTTCCAAATAACTCAACACTCGATGCTCTTCGTTGTGTTTCATTCAGTGCTTCATTTAACTTTCGTTTTGGATCATTTGATTCAGGGATATCTGTTGCTTCTATATGGAATTTTCTTGTTGTATTTGATAAACTGAAACTTTCACAGTTGTATCTATTTTCCTATAATATAGTATTATACACGGTTTCAACTTTCGGAATCGACATGATGTGGCAGTCGAAAGAATTTTTTTTGCTGCGAAAAATCACTTTTAATCAAACCATAAGAAAAAGTGGTACGTCATGTTTCAGTAAAACTGCTACTTAAATTTAGTCAGAAACTTCCAAAGTAAATGAAAGATGATGGCAAATTAAACGGACGTAGTTTGTAGAGGTTTTCAGGAGATCTTCGGAAAACATTTTTCAAAAAAATCAAATTCTAATTCTGTGTTCGAATGGTGTATGTCTTTCCTGACTGCTTCTTTCAGATAAATTAACTGTTTTTCATTTTCTTTGTTATCCCAAAACTAAGCAGTTAAGTCATATAAAATTTTCGCATTTCTGCACACCTTCTATTGAAAGTACTTGATAGAAGTAAGAGTAAGAAACAGAAACTGTCAAAACCTCTTCTGTATCTCATGCATAAAAGAAATGACGCAATCGGTTCTATGCAAGCAGCATATATGCCATGTATTTTTCTCATTCCTTTTGTTGTACAGAAACCATGTGTATATTCTTGATAACGGTTATATGATTAACCGAAACGTCGAATATTTTAATTAAATAAAAATTATTAAGCTTACTGCTGTAATAAAAAGATACATTCTCTTAAAATATTGGCTTGTGACAAAAATAATGAATGTATGTTAGTACTTTTATTCATATCCAGATTGCTAAACCAAAAACTTAAACAGAAATATTTAAACTTTTTTAAAATTTAAATTTCGCAATGCAGATTTTCGGAATAGACTTTTGCAATAAAGACTTTTTTCGTGTTCGAAAAATCATAATTCTTTCTCTCGTCATACTCGGACGGTCTGTCATAGCTGGTGCTTCACAGCCCAGCCCACAGTGGGGAACAACGTAGACATTAGGTGAAAAATCGAAAGTGACATTTTTGAAAATTGGAATAGTGGACCATATGCAGCAGTCAACGGCGAACAATTTTGGCGAAGACCGTTTGGTCCTATCGTATATTATCCTCGAGAAAGGTAAGTCGCAAGATTTTGCCTGTTTTTGCGAGACGCGTTATTTTTTCTAAGTAGTAGAGTTTTGAAAAAATTAAGTTTAATAGATTATGAAAGCTAAACATCTAAGCTTTCGATTGATAAAAAAAATTTTTCGTTTAAGTCATTTTTCTAAGGAAAAAATTATCGAAACAAATTTTCGATTAAAAGTCTCCGAACGTACATTTATATATTTATTTACATAGTAATAATATTAATAGAAGTAGGCCACGATTTTTTC